GGAAGCGTGAGTTGGGGAGGTGAGGCATGAAAAAGAAAGTCAGCCATTGTACCAGCACAGGGGGAAGACCACGTTGTGGGATGGAGTCAGTCAGCTAATTCCTCATGGAGCATCCTTTTCTTGTTCCATTCGTCTGATCAGTCACAAGACGGAAATTGAAAGCGCAAGACGGAAATTGAAAGCCCAAGACCAAAAATTCAAAATTTGACCTCGTGAAAGCTAATCCACAACTATGGAAATGCGGCATATCAGACTACTCCTTGGGATCCCACGAGCTTCTTCCCCTTCGAGACTCGTGCGAAGGCCTTCGTCTCTGTGCGCTAGGCCCAGTACAAGGGTTCCTTTGGACAAGTTCGCTCCCTTCCGCAAGGTCACCAGCGCACTACTCCTTTTCTTTCCAGGATGCTCAGTTGTATACGAGATCACAATGAGCAAAACTCTTTGGCTTGGCCAAGAGATTTCCTGAGCAGGTGCATTCCCCGCTTTAGCAAGTTTTGTACCATTTACGTATCCTTTTCTCTGAAAAATAGGTACGAATTATGGAGGGCTCCGGTTCTGAGTTTCCAAGATTTCACTAATCACCTCGTAAAACCTCGTAAAATCTTTTGGTTTCTGGAGAGGAACTTCTGGTGCCCATATTTTTCAGTACAATTGAGTTTTTCCTGCTGAGAAAATTTTTAGAAAAGTACAATCCCTACACCCGCCCCAGCCCACAATAGGTGTCTCACAACGACGTATGTATGAAACAGGAAAATCATCTCTTAAAAATTTCCTGGTGCCTAATACGACCCTCTTCCTTTCACCGACGAAATACGGTAATTACCCTATCCCTGCTGGGGATTTCTCAAGTACAACCTGGATCCAACTGTGGCCGAAGCGGTCTAGACGAGCTATTTTTCTGTGACGACGCACCTATTACGTGACGTCCCCCTGCTGTTAATGGGTTCATAAATTTCCATGTTCAGGCTGGAACTAACCTTCAACACAAGGTCTGCCTTAAATTTCATTCGGGTTAAACCTGATGGTCATGCAAGTGTGAAACTGCCCTTCTACCCACTGCGTCATTCAGCCCATGTATCAGAACAGGGCTCAGTTGGTTTCCACCTGTCCAGAGACTCGAAGGGACCACAGAAATGGAAGCCTGGAGAGGAAAAAAACTTATTTGGTCGGTTTCCTATGGTATCGCGATCCTGTTATAACAAGGAGATCAAGATGCAATAGGCTTACCCGACCTAATGGGATGAAAATCTCCATTGTCTGAGAAAAGATTAAAGGCAGTTGGCGCGATATTTTGTTAATTTGCCTTAAATGCTAGCAGGGCCCATATAGTGGGTTAAAAATTGCGCGAACAAAAGAGTGGAAACGTCAAAAACTTGCGAAGTAAGAGCTTAGTTCTTGATAACAACTTGGACGGAGTTTTCCGTAAACGTCTGCCCATAACCGGCCACTGTGACTACGATTGCCATCTATGTCTCAATATCCAGCTACAAACCGCCCTTCATACCAATCCCTTCGCTTCTATTTTACTTTGCAAATAAAGCAATATGAGCGTCGGGTACACTCGTCCATTTGTGGGAGGGCGGGCGTGGCGAGCGTTTTGGGGTCGCGGGAATGTTGAGCTCGATGGGGCACTTCTAAGCGGCTTTCCTCAGAAAAAGCACTGCACAACACCTGTTTAGGGTCGCCTAATTCCCATCCTGCGGACGTGTCATCCACTACCCTTCCAGAGATTTTATCGTTGATAAACTGCCTTTGACTCCTAAAAAAAAAAAAAAAAAAAAAAAAAAAAAAAAAAAAAAAAAAAAAAAAAAAAAAAAAAAAAAAAAAAAAAAAAAAAAAAAAAAAAAAAAAAAAAAAAAAAAAAAAAAAAAAAAAAAAAAAAAAAAAAAAAAAAAAAATCATGAAAACCGTTTGGAATCCCGATTCAAAGACCTTGGAATGTCAGTAAGGGCTTAAATGGTTCACCTGATTCACTTTCTCCCAATGTGTAAATAATACACCATTTGAAATCCCTTACGTGAGCCAAGTTTCATGAGCACATGACTAAGGATTAAACGGCGTGAAGGCCAGTAGCCCAACTGACCTCTACCGCCGTGCCATATCGACACATGCACATACGTAGTGATGGTGTTAATTCAATGGAATCTTTCATTTAACGAGACACTCCCCCATAATTGTAATCGCATTCCGTTATTAGTGAAAACAATGCGCGACAGACTTGTTGGAACCATCGCTCGATCTTACCTTCAAATAGAATCTTGCTCGATTTGAACACGCCCTCACCGAAGAAGAAACCACCGTGGGTAATGTTACCGCCGAGAAATCCAGGCGGCTTGGAGAATCCTAAAGTAGTAACGTTGTAATGTCGACTCATTCTGAAGTATAGAAGACGGGAAATTTTTTATTGACTTGTCTATTTACTCATTTATTTATTTTTTATAGCCCTTGCACGGTTCGAGGCTGAGGTCTATTTCCTCCTCGTTTAACTTGAGCTTGTGACCTTACAATTAGAGGGAAACCTGTAGCGACATACGTTACGTTGCTATTCTGCGACATGTGCCTGCCGTTGGGAGGAATCTCGCAGAAAAGCGACAGCCGAAATTCCCTTCCCTGACGCCCTCCCCCTTTTTTTCCCCATCACCCATCCTACCCACAGCATCTTCCTGAATTTTCGTAACCTCTCAACTTTCCACTATTTTTCCGGAGTTTATTTTACGGAAGTTCTCTACTTTTCCAGAAAAAAACTGCCGTCGAGTCTCCTCTCCCCACCGATCACATATTGCCCTCTTCGCCAGGCGAACCTCAACGAATGACGGGCCCCGATGCTGCTCAGCGATTTCTTGCTCATTGGCGCCATGAATTCAATCTTTACTTGAATTGCCACAATGCCTTGATAGAGGCATGAAATCTATGCCCTGTCAGAGACACGCTGAGCAGCCGCTTTTCTAGAATCGATCAAGGATCCATACGGCTGCAGAGCGTTTCACTGGTTTGGGATTAATTTGAACCCTGAAACGGTTGAAGGTGACCCGTAACAACTCGATCAACAGCATAATCCGTGTTATGCAGCGAAATTCGACAATTTCCTCTCTAACTTCCACTGCACGGCATGGTTCAAGCAGATCTGAAGAAACAGTCCGCGGTCACCATGTGGGCGGGATCAGACTTCCCATGGTGAACGTTTCTTCGATGATCTCTCATGGGGTCGTTGAATCACCTCATTTGCCACTTACTTTCTGATAGTATCGCTTTGTTCTGAGCCTGAAAGACCATTGGTCCCACCCCATTGATTCTGCCCCCTCCGCTCGCAACTAAGGACATACCATCAACGAACGTAATAGTAGACTTTACTCCTCCTTAGCATTCATGGTTTCTTCTCTGTGGAGCGTTGTCCATCTTCATTCACGGAAGATGATGTAAACGTCTTGTGTTCCCATAAGTGAGAACTCCTTCAGTGTTATTTTGAGGTTCTGAAGTCGTCCAAGACGGTAAATGAAAAGCAAAGGCCTGGCGCATTCTCGAGGCTCCCATAACTTCCTGGCGATTCAGCTTCCTCGAGAAATAGCCCAAATCCAAAAAACGTTCAGAAAAAGAACACTACCTCTATTAGAAGCACATTGTCATATCAAAGTGACAAAATACACTTTATTCAACAAGTCAGATTCAGAGTAGAGAGACTTCCTGGATGGGCCCACCTCAATCATTCCATGACCAAAACGGAAAGCTGATGTAGTGAACTCGTTGGCGATGGTGGCATCAACATTACTGTCGTAACCCTTGTATTCACCAATCACTTTTGAATGAGCAACACCCAGCATTTTGGGAAGATATTCCTGAAAAAAGAACGGTAAAGATATATGGTATATTTATAAAATCGTAAGCGGGAAATTCCATTCGAAGAAAACTGAGCACATCGAACGCTGCACTGTTTTTAATGGGAACTTCGATTGCGTTTTTTGTTGCTCCGACGTGTGCATTGGTACCAATGCACAAAGTTGCAGAACGAGATTGATTTTCTCGTTGGTATATCATTAACGCGAGGTTTCGGAATCACTTTATCGCGAGCCAAAACTTTGCTTATAGGGGGTTGTTCAGTTCCTTTATCACGAATACGGCATCCATCTATGATTCCAAGTTGGCAGTACGACTAGTACGACTCTTACGAGTACGAATCTTCCACAGAAACCAACCTAAAACCTAGTGTCAGGGTTACTGGACACTGCGGCCGATGAGAAAATCTAGCGCTGAAAGAAACTAGCCACCCCTCTCCATTCTTTCAGGTATGGAGTTGATATTTCAAAACGAATAAAGTGCCTTGTATCAACAGACTATGGCCAAACAAACAACTTAAGCTAGTTGACAACGCAGCATAAATGAACCTTCCGGCAGGCTTTTGAATCAATTAACGAAAAAATTGGTGCGCATGGGCTATCCTGGAAGAGCCGGTCTAGAAGTGTGCATTGGAATCGATGCACAAAAGTGTGCAACAAACGTGCCGCAAACGCGAGAGCCTATTCTGTATATAGATGTCCTATTGCCGCGGCGTTCAATTATCACACGAAAATTGCAATTGAAAATATCACCTTGAACAAAAATTCTGAATGATTGCCACAACAACTTTTTCTGTCCTCTTGGAATACACACTGACCACGGCCATCACTTCTTGAAGTCCGTCTTAGCGATCCCAAAAAAAAACTAAAAAACTAGAAAAGTTCCTTCCCCTCTCGAGAAAATTGCTCAGAATCTTGCAGTGATGGTCTGGAAGACTGAGAAACCGAGGTCAACTTCATGAATGCTCCAATTTTTCACTTGTCCTATCATTTTCTTTATCCATTCGCAGCGCCTCCTTCTTTGCACTCTTTTTCTTTAAACTCAAGGTTAAGCCGTAGGTCAAAACTTTGGAGTCAGTTGCCAGTCCCAAAGTCATTCCAGAAGGAAAATTCCGGCGCAGTCGGGGGTATATCAGGGGGGAGGGCATTTCGCACTTGGTTCCTGTTACTAGTCCCTGTTGAAGTACATGTCTCACCTCGTTCAGACCTGCAGACACTTGCAAGTGTGGACCAATCTTTTGCTTTTGCGCACCTTCACTGGAACTGACAGTTCTCCTACAGGAAACATCGGCAGTGATAGGGACCACCAAAATGGGCACTATTTACCCTTTACTGCTCCACTCTTCCAAAAGAGGCCAGTTTGACCGACTTTTTTCTGCGTTGGCAGAATTGGCTAAAAATTTGTTCCCTAAGGTAGTTTGACCTCCTGAACATGAATATCACATCCGCTTGGCACGAAACCTCCTGGCGCCCGCGCTACAGGCGCTGGCGCCAAAAAACCCGATCACCGGCGCCTGTGGCGCGGGTGCCAGAAAGTTTCAGGCAAGAGAATGCGATATTCGTAATCAAGAGGCCAAAATACCTCGGAAACATTTGAGCCAAATCTGTCCACGGAGAAAAAAGTCGGTCAGGAACTGGCTCAATTCTGGATGGTTGGGGCAGTTAAGGGGAAATAGTGCCCCAAAATGCCCCAATCAAGCCGAACTGTGCCAATATTCCGATCAATCGTCTGGTTTTTGAAGAGTGGGGAAGTAAGGGTAAGTAGTGTCTCAAGAAAATATGCATACGTTATGGTATGTTCAAATCGCACTGTTTTTGTCTTCCTAGGTAACACATGAACGGCTAGTGATGAATATGAAAACGATCTTGAGTGGTGCGGAACCTCTACAGCAACAGGCAGCGCCTCAACCGCTGCGCTTCACCTGCTTCATCAAAAATGTTATTTCTCCCGCTTCTGATCCGAAATTATTAGATTAGAAATTATGCCTTTTATCGAAGCTAGTTGAGGCCAGCGTCACCGAAAAGCGTAAATTAGCAGTAGCTTGATGAGTCCCAATGGTAACTTTCATAAGGAGCAGAGCTACATGAAAGGTGCCCCCCTCTCTGCCTCTCTTCTTTTTCCAGACAGTGAAAGTTTCCCGTCCGCTAAAACTGATTGAGTCATCGACTGCATGTCACGCTGTCTCGTTTGTCTTCGTTGTTGTTCAGAGTTTTTACCCGCATTCCATAACGAGTTCGACGAAGGAACTCCTTCACAGATTATCACCCATCGTTTTTCTCACGAACTCTATGACCTCGCCCAGATTCTTACCGCAACAAAGTTCACAGAACCTTTTCTGAAACGCCATCAAAAAACTTGCACCTCTCAAGTATGACACGCCACCTGCACCCTGCAAAGTATGTCTAACTGGGCTGATAAAAGGGTTAGGACTGCTTTGTCGAGCGCTACGCATAGGTGGTGTGCCGAGACCATCCCTAGCCCTCCGTGTCCTGCTCCTATCATACTCAGCGCAGAAAGCAGAATAATTTATAGCAATTACCCTTGGCGAGATCATAGCATGGGCGCTCGAACCATCCAAGCTCACGTCACGGAAATGATTGACGATCTCCTGTCATACGACCTTTTCACCGCGGCACGACGTGCTCCTCATCCGACCTGAACACACTAGCTTTGAGCCTGGACTTGGGGCGAAGCTTCTGGCGTGCCCCCCTGAATACTGTTGGCGCCCTCTTAAGAAGAATAATCATCTTATGGCATAACAACCTCCCTTGAACTTGCGCGTTGCCCATTGCGCCACGAAACTGCAACTATAAGTGAAGCAGCGATGGTACAATCCGTCGACAACAATCATGTTGCAGTATTCGCACTCGTGGAAATGGTAGTGCGTACGACCCGTCACCTAGGATTTCACGCATAAATTCAAAACGCGAGAAAATTGTCTCAACGCAGCAATTCTCTCGACCGCCCCCTCCCTCCCCCCTCGTACAACGACAATATACTACCCTCCTCTGGCGGTAAAAATACGACTTCCCCTAGAGTGCTTTCCACACAACGATGCGTTACCCTTAGTTTAAGGAGCCGTTCGTTTTCAGGCAAATGACCTTGTGAACAGTCTATACGACGTCACCAACAGACTACACAACTATGACCAAATCTGTAAGACGAGCAGTAAGCATTTTGAGGACTGATTGTAGAGTTTAGTTTATTTTACAAAACACACAATCACTTTACACTCAGGTGGCAGCATCTTCGTGAACGATTGGATAGCTTGATCTTCCCGCGCTGGAACAGGCGCTGCGTCCGGGGGAGTCTATTCTGTAGTGGAGGGAGCTACGTGTCTTCGAGAGGAACTTGCTGCCTTCCGAAAAATTGTTCCTAGTGTTAGATTTCGTGTGGCCCTCACCTACGCGCTCTCTTACTGAAATGCTGCATACTACACAATTCCGCTCACTCGAATTCATGTCACTACAACGTGACTCTAAATTAATAATTTGCACTACCGCCAGCACTACCGTAAAGGCTGCTTGTGTAAAGTGCGGACCAAGAACCTCTTGATTCTGAAAAGTTCCAATTTTTTTTACGAAAATCTCTGAAGACATTCTTACAAGGCTGGCGGTTACCATCAAACTGTGTGAGAACTATTATCAACTCTATAAAGTACTATCGTACGACTGTAAAAAAAAAGCGACGCGAAAGCTGGGAAGCAGCCGAAGGTAAAAAATTTCCCTTCTTCGCCGATTTGCGCTCAAACCTGGAATAATGACATTTGATAGATAAGTTTGGCTATCCATTTGGTTACCTCATAAATCAGTCGAATAAGGATGCGGAATCGACGCGCCTTGCAACTTCCTAACCATCTAGTCGACTGGACCTGTGATCAACGCCAAAGGAGGCCCGATGCGTTGGTTTTCGCCTTTAATTTTCTCGACCGAGAACACCATATTCAGGGGATAAGTTTGGGGTTAGCAATCCCCTGTATATGCCAACAGCAAGTCCTTTTATAGCTTCGAATAACTAGTTATAACTTACAACTATAGGTAATAAATAGTCATAATAATTAGTGAGGAATAGTAGGCATTGGTAGATAATGAAAGGGACAAAGCTTCCAAGGCCGACCCATCTCTCTTTTTTTTCTGGGGGGGGGAGGACGGCACGGATTCTATTCCCATTCAGAATCCTAGTGGCTTGCTAAGAGCGTGTGGCTTATTCAATGAGTGGCGGGGGCCAGCCGATGCACTATACTATTCAGTGCTTTTAACCTCCCAAATAAATCTGGTACTGATCTACAGTCTCGAAAAGGTATACGGCTTGGTTGGCCAGGACGGGAGCCAATCCAAGATTCCATCTCGACCATGCACGTGGAAGGCTGGCCACATGCCAGCACACTACCTTTACATGTATACATAATACCTAAGAAATCAATAAATGCAAATAATAAAAATAAGTTCTAAATACACGAAGTACAAGTCTGAATAGCCAACTATAAGTTATAACTACAATTCAACTACGCTAGACCGGAAAAGCGTTCAAAATATTGGGTTAGATAGGAAATCCTGCGACGCTCCCATTCCAGATCACATACTCTTTCACTGAGCGAGCGACCAGTCGACGAAAAAAGGGTCAAAAACAAATTCATTACTGGTGGAAATGGTGAGGAGGCAGCTCATTTATGGGTGGTCCATCCGCTTTAGCTAACTTCCCCCTTGAAATTCAGATGACCGCGATAATCAGAATCGCTCGGATTCCTTGCATGAAGTTGATATCGTACAGGTTTCTATTTTTTTCCTTCTTGAATGGTTTTTATGGTTTTTAATATTTAATATGGTGATACTGCTATAACATAACAGCGAAAAGTGGGTGATTATGCCCGGAAACCCCCTTCCTTGTTCCGTCTCCCACATCGTCGGTTCAGCATGGGTGCGGTTTTCGATGCCGTCGAGAATGAGCTGATTAATGGCGAATTTCAGTTTGCCGTGTTCATGACCTTATCGGAGGTTTCGTCACGCACATTTCCGCAAGAAGACATTCCAATGTCACGCTAAGGGATGCGCTTGGAATTTCTCAGGTTTCAACGGGCATTTTCAGTAGCAAAAGAACTATGGATGCGACTAGATGCACATATATCGCACAGGGATTGCTGCTTTTCAATACCCTGAAATGTCCTGAAAATGAACTCACAGACTGACAGCTCACAGATAACAGAGATTCCCAGATAACAGAAAGTTGACTTTCTAGGAACTCTCTACGATAGTATTTTTGTAGAAAGTCATGGAACGATTGAAGAATCCTTTTTAGATCGATAGATCGATCAAGCAGTAATCTTGAATGTAGGTCTCGGCATCACTCTGATGCAGGGCACATCGTTGCTGGGGATTCTCCAACCGGGGAGGGGTGGTGCGTATTTGACATGTCAGGCTGGAGAAGAAATGTGCTAGTTCGATAGTTATAGTTGAATTTTTTATTTCAGAATTGTAAAGAAGAAGGGTATATTTGGTTTGTTTCGCTGGAAGAGAGAGAAGGTAAGGGTGGGTAATATTTCCTATCCTGAGAGAGGTTGCGGTTTTTTTCGGCCGTTTTCCGTAGTTCTTCCTGTGAAAGCAAAGGTTTTCGACAGCTTTCTAAAAAAAAAAAAGGGGGGGGGGGAGGGTTCGTACGGACTAGACCAAATCCCAATCCCCAACCAGTGATGTGCCCCGCCCTGATGATCTCGGCCAATGGCTCAAAAACCCAATGTGACTAGACGACCGGATTGGGAGATTTGCTATTGCATGCTCTACTCTATTTGGCACTGCCTAGCCCGCCTGGAATGTGCTATCATTTCGTTACCTACCAAAGACCCTGGTCCTAGTAATGCTCGTAGTTTGTCAGGGTTTCTGTCTCACTTTTTTCATTCTTTATCCCTTTGTTTTCCTTATCTCTGAAAAGACTTTATTCTCATACTGCGCCTTAGATAACATCAGCATATCCGGTCATTGCAAATATCGTCGCCTTAAATTACTGTCAAATTACGAATCCCATCTCGATGGAGAGTTTTCGAGATGGAAATCGCAGCTCAATTCGAAAATGATTGAAAAAATACGTAAAAAGTTGAGAGATAGGCTCCATTGAGCTTCCATTACGCTGCTGTCTCTTCAATATTCTTTCACTGAGAGAACGAATTCAAGAAAAACCCCAACTATCAACGGCTGCTACAATATTTTCTATCAGATTGCCATCAAAATTCACATCCATTTTTTCTCTAATTTTGGTGTTCCGTGCGGGAATAATGCGCGTCAACAAAAACAATTTTTTTCTCATTTGGCAATCGCCGGCTTTGAATGATATGGCGATTATCGCAACTGCCGAAAGGTCAAGCGAGTAGAAGTGATTTAGCAAATCTTTGGTGTCGAGCTGAACCAGTTCGCTGACTTTTGTAATAAAGAAATGGACCTTGCAAGATTCGCGAGAAAAGCCGCACTTGTAATATATAACAATAATGAGAAATCGCTATCTTTGTTATTATATTAGTTTATTTTGAATCTTAGGTTCTTATGTGTTTGTTCTCTGCTTTCTTTTCTTTTGGTATTTGTAGGTAAGTGCTATTAATCATGTGGGTCTTTGATAAAAACAGAACTTTCTCAAACTGCTGTGCTTAGGGAGGGGACATGATACCGCGAATACGCATATATCAACTTCAACGGCTTAAAAATATTGCAGGCGGCAAAAAACGGCTAATGAGTTTCGCAACGAATCTTCAATTTCAAAGTTTCAATTTTGGACGCCTGAGCCTTTACCCAGGCGCATTTCGGGCGGTATGTGGCCTTTCAGTGACCAACACAACAGGAATTCAGGGTCTAATTCCCATAGAGGACTAAGTACCGGAAAGGATGGTTGTTGTGGTTTGTTTAATCCCGAAAGAGGTTCATTCAGGTGAAAGATTCATCGAATAGATAAATGGGCAAATGATTAAACAACTAGATAAATAAGTAAGTAAATTGATTAAATGAATAAAATAAATAAATAAGTAAATAAATAATAAAAGCAAAAGAGGTCTCATTGGTCTCCGAACATGGAAGCTGGTGGAAGCACAACTAGATACTTGTCTCATCTTGGCATCCCCATGAAAAATTCTGATCCTCGATAGCAAAATCATGATGAAATCTCCGAATGAATGAATATTTTTATAGGACAAAGTACGAGACTAAACTACTCTTAAATCGAGTTGTCAATGGTAGAAAAAAATGGGAAAAAACGAAATTTCAGGCAGGAATATGCCTTTGCTCATCTGTTCGTTGATAAAAGAGCAAATAAAACAAATAATGAAAAGAACATTATTTACCGTTTGAGCTTAACAGTCCTCCTGTTTCTCATTTGGCTTGTAATCAGAAGGATCTGACGGAAATGCAAGGAAGAATTCTCCCAGAAGAAAGACAACAAGCCTTTGTGTCGAAAGAAAAATGTATCGCGTTTAATATTAGATACCATTATCAGGCCCAGTGGATTGATTGGGGGCACCACCAAATTGTTAGCTAATACGAACATTTTACTATTACACACTGCGGAATGCTCCAATTCCTCCAGACAAAGCGCCCTCTATTGTAGTCCCGCGCAGCTTCGCAATAATCTGAAGAGCTCCCCAAAGTAAGACTTGTTACTTTACATGAGGTAGCAAAACAAACTCGCTAATGTGCAAAATGCCCCTGCCCCCTCTTTGGTTGTAGTTTCCAGTGCCCCTTTCGCCAATGTGCACGAGAGGGTTTTCCATAGCGCCTTTACTTAGCTCATTTTTTCAAGCGCCATCTATTCGTCAACAACTGGACGGTTCCAGATTGTCAGCTGGGCGCGTTGTTGCATTTCAGTTCCATCAGCTGTGCGATTACTTTATAAACTTCTACGGCAGTGATTACTGATATTTTCGTCTCACCATGAAACATTGAAGAGCAACCAAAGTTCTCTTCATCAGAACTTCTCTTTCACAACACACTTTAAACTTTGACTTGCAGAATTTATGGTAGCTGTTTGATCTGTTTTCTAAAACGAAAAATCTGTGTGATACACCCGATCATTCTTTGGATACGCAGTGCATTCAACTACTTCTTTCCGGGCCTTGAAAGAATAGACGAGGGTTTGGTTGATACAGTAAATGGTAAAAAAACACTAATAATTCGGGTGCTGGTATTCAAAGTTGATCTGGATAAACCCGTATATGGGAGGCGGCACGAGTTGGACTTTGCGGGGGGGGCACCAAAGGTACCCAAGCAGTCTTGTAACACAGGCCACCTTAGCGAAATACTTTGTGAATGTCGCTGTGATCCAAAAGTGGCTACCACCGCACCGATTCACAGATTCGCTGAATACGTTTGGCAGGTCACACTATAAGGGAAATCGTGTTTTAATTGAACGAGTCACAAAGCAAATTTGGCGAAAGCGCAAAGTGCCTTGTTTCAAAGCCGAACAGGGCGTCGGAGAAGGCTACTATAGTGCGAAAATCCGAACTCAACTAGAGCACCTCGTCATCTCGCAACTAAGACCACTACACTATTGCATCAGCGCAGATAAAGAAAGCAAAACGACCAAAATGGTGCGGGGAAAGAATCTGCGTAAAATATTTATATTATAGATCATCTTGGGATGCGCCGTCCGCGCGACTTTAACTCCAGTCCAGCACATAATTAAACATTCATTCGAGTGCCAAGGCGAAAATATCGGGTAGAAATAAAGCGTTTTTTTCTGCTAACACTCAAATTCGGAATCTTCTCAAATTAATTTGGACGTCACTTGAGCTTCTAGATCTTATTGGATTTCTGACTTTGAAAACGAAGGAACCAGAAAACAGGGAGCAGCAAAAATGGAATGACGGTTGAACTGGGCCGATTCTATGGCCGTTGGTAAACTAACTTATTAAATTAAATTATTATTTTATTTATTAAGCTTTAAGATAATTAATTAATTTAATTAACTTATATTCTTGAGTAAATAAATAAATAGTAAAGTGGAAAGATGAGCCGGGAGGACGAGGACCCATTTATGAAAAAGGCAACCATAATATGAGACCATGAAAAAGTGTTGAGTTAATAATTATCCAGCTCCGTAAAATGAATCAAATAAGTTGGCTGTGATAGTATCAAAAACAGCTTAGAAATAGAAAATGACAAAAGAAATAAAAATTCAAAAGAATGCGCCGCCTCAGCTTCATAACATCACTGAAAGCCAAGCGAAGGCATTTGTTTGGTACTGATAGCTTAGTTGAAAGTACACAGCTCAGAAAGACTTTTGTATAGAGTTTTAAGTGAGTTAATGCTGCTAACGCCGCGCCTAAAACGAGAGTTATCAGAAAGGGATGAGATCCTGCCGCGTAAGGATTGAGATGCGTATTCTGGTCTAAAAAGTGGTCATGACTTTTGCCCGTAACTCAGCACTCTTGTGACGGCTGTGCAGTGCCCATACCTAATACGGAGTACAAATCTGGCTCGAGCTCTTCTCAACTTCTTGCACACTACAGTACCAACTCCTCAGGCCCTACAAGATTGGAGGGCTTCAATGAGTCTTGGTTGATCAGCACAAATGCTTTTGATCATTTTAGGCTCTGGCGAGAGCACAAACTGCGAAACGCAAGCCTAAGGAGGTCCTCCAATCTCGTAATACCCAAAGACAACACACAACGGCGATATGATCACGCTAAGACTGAGCAAAACTGGAGTGGACTGTTGTACCTGTTGTGCTCGCGGGCGAAGATGATGTGCAAGCTGCTCAGACCGATGAAGAGATTTGCTCGAATATCACCAGCTGTGAACGACGCGGTGCATTTGTCTTTGTGGGGGCATTTCGACTGGTCGAAGGGTAGCACTAGCTGGAAATAACGACTCACAATATACTTGATAACACATTTGAAATGCTTCGACTAATTGAGTTTTTCTGAGGAAAATTGCTCCCCTATCGTCTGATTCACATATTTCTGTGGCCGAAGGGGTCGGCCTGGCTTGGAGTGCTGACCGCTGAGCCTTTTTAGTGTTCACATTTAGCTCTACCCTCGAACTCCCCGCCTACACGCCTTCGTTTTGGAACCTGCATAGTCATGCTACAAAGCAAATATCTAGTCATGGGGATATTCGGAAAGAAGATGACGCGGTATCAAGAGGGATGGGTGCGCGGACAGCAGACCTATTACTGCGTTGGTCAAGAAAGGCATTGACTCATGTAAGACGTCACGGTCGGCATAAGAATACGCAGGCGTCGGCAGACGAACTTGGTAACGCCCCTTATTGCTTTCCGATATAGCTTATTACTTTTTGATCGCACTGCCTAAGTCAAATCTGACCTCGCACTTTCTATTGAGCGCGCCCTACTCCCTCGGATTGAGAAGGGGAAGCGTTGATGGGTAGACGATCCAACCTCTTGGTCACGCCCCTGCTTACGCCCAGGCATGGGAGTCATACAGTCTGAAACTAACGAGCCGCACCAGTAAATGAAACGTACTAACCTGATTGTTGAAGCGGTTCATTTTCAGCAGTCCAGTCCTACCATCACGGAACTTGTGCAGATCCTTTGGAGACGATCCATAGATCATCGAGCCGTCGATGTAGGCGGTGTTCTCGTTCAGTTGCTCCCTTGGTGTGACATGGCAAATCGGTGCTGATCGTGACACTTTCAGGCATTGTTTTCTGTTTGAATCTGAAAACAGCGCAGCGAGTCGGGAGCTTTCCCTGGAGAGAAACCTGCAAAAGTAACTTACGCTGAGTTAGGGTCATTTGCCGTGATAGGGATCGTCATACATTTGGATTTCATTGGTGTACATGAGGTGCATTGGGCTGACGGTTGTAGCGTTGTCTTGGCCATGTCGTGGGACATAAACTGTCCCCATTGCATCATTAGATTGTTGTACTGAAATACTTGTAATTTTCTGTCTCCATATCAAATCCTATCTTTATTTTAACAAATTCGAGAAAACTGAAGTCGATTAAGCTTGGAAGGTGCTAAAATCATCTGAAACGCTGCCATTTTCCCCCATTCGTTCTGGGGGCGCTACCACGGCTCTGAAGATCACTATGGCTAGTAGCGGGTAATATTGTGTGAGACGCCAGTGTGGTACAATCAGCTCAGGGCGTGCATCCAGTAGTTCCCGGGTCCGGAAGGCGGCATCCACCCTTTCGCTTGTACCTTTCCCAATTCACCACGACAATTAAACAGGGCTCTTTATTTTGGTCATAACTACAAACATTTTGAGTGCGAACGAGTAAACGCGTGAGTCATTGATTCAACAAATCATACAGATCATTAGAGGTGGACTGTACAATTCCTGGACGTACTTTAGCTTGCCGCGCCACCCTTACCAAATGCAACTCTTTGGAGGTCTATAGAGGCTATATGCCAATCAAAGGAAACTGGCCTTGGTTACAAGACTTGACAGCATCCTTTCCGCAAGAGACGGCAGGCCTGGCTGTGAGAAGGAGCTGACGATCAGTCTTCCATCAAATAGTCTCGCTCCTCAAACGGTTTGAGGAGTAGTGAACGGGATGGTGGAATCGCGGAGCGTAAGGCGATCCTTTCCACCAATCATACCATCCTAGGCTCGCTGCAATAGGCTGGAGAAGCTGCACTTACTAAGCTTCGGTCCGTTCCCCGTTACATGCCCGATCGTTTGCAGGGATCATTACTATATCTGGGAAAAATACTGATAATATGGACACTTGAACGTCGGATACGCACCGCTTCAAGACACTTCCCCCTGCTTCGCTCCCCCCCCCTCCCAAATATCCACACATGTCTCGTCAAGGGTTCCCCAGCCGTAGTCATCACCTTCGCTTTCACACTTACCTTATCATGAACTACGCTTTGTGCTGATGAAAGCATCACTCGGTTCGACTCTCGAGCTGTCGGTCGTGATACCGTGATCGTAGCTGGAAAAGGGCTAATCAAGGCTATAAAAATAGAACATATATAAGAAGCAAGTTATGCATGACTAGTAAATCATAAATATTGGACCGGCTCGATGAGTATGGCGTTCACCGTCTCACTCAAAATATTTCGCTAAAGGTTTTTTAGGTTTTTAAGCTTCGCTCTTTCTGAGAGCCGAGCATCAAGTAGCAAAAAGTTTCGCTCTCGAAAAACACACTTTTGAGTCCACTCCATTTCAATTAAATAAAAATTCGATAGAGATCGAGAATCAGTAGGGAGTTAACCATACTGTTTTATAGAGCAGAGAATTATCTATCAATCAGTGTAGAACACATTGGAAACAGCTGTCCTTTCCACATAGAATTTGTGTGAGAAAAACGCCATTACTATATGGCCGAGCTAGGTGCTCCATTAACAGCCATAAAGTTAACAGGGCGGAAATGAACTTAACAGGGTGGAATTGAGGTTGGGAACTGTCGCAGCTCACCGCCTACACGGTCCTGGTGTTCAATATCAGATCGACTCCATCTTCATGCCAACCAAACTTTTCTTTCCCTCGGATTATGTATGTAATCGATTTTAATGTATAGATTATAAAAAACTGACTTTTATACAAACTACAAACCTTTGAATGTTCTCCCTGATAGGCTTATTAATTGGCTCTGAACTACCATGAAGGCATAGAGAGCTTGATTGCGTCTGTCGCATGACTCTGAGTCTATATGACGTATGGTTTATATTCGCTTCAGAAAGTTTCTGTTGCGATTTTGAAAGAACTTGAATGCCAGTGTCTCTCAGCTGAAGGGAAATCTAATGGGATAAACCGTGCATATAGAATAATCGAGCCATAACCTGTTTTTTCCTTCATTCTGAAGGGCGGAGCAGCAGATCGTAACGGCCTCTGGTTGCTCAGTCCTGACTGAAAGTCTGGCCCAGGCTTTGAGTCGCAACTGCGGGAATGGATTCTGAAGGAGTAGTTCTATGGCCGGCTGGGAGATGTGTGGCGAGGGGGGGGTTAGGGCACGGGTGAACCGGTACAAACGTTTTGAACCAACTGGCCATGATAGGGTCACGTTATAAGGTATTCATCTGTTCTGACATGGCAAAGTTGCCCTAGAACTTGTTTTCCAGCCATTCAGGGTCACATTATTTCCCAGGGTCACGTCGTCTTGCACGAACAATCTTTTAATTTGCAATATTATATTATTACCAGTCGGACCGCCCCCCTTTGGCGGGCAATTCTCCTTCCGCGTGTGAAGTGGGTATTGCCCAGGTTCCACTGTCAGTGTTTGTTCAAACGAAATTCCAAAAACATACACTTCTGGTTCATAATATAGAGAGTAGGAAGCACCACTCCCTCGTGAACTCACCGTAAATATGTCTTTAGGCGGTGTGTGTGGTATGCGGTATAGCCCGGAAGAGTTATGAGCAACTTATATGGGGAATGTTGAATCTTCATCAAAAAATTTTGTAATTAATAGAGGGAATATAAAAATAAGTTAAAATATACGAATCTTCGATTATGGCCCCCATCCATTGAGACACATGCGTCTGTTCCACCCTTAGGTGCCTCGGAACTATCGTAGGACCCTAACCGTTTGGTACACAATATACTGCTTACGGGTGTCTCTCTCTCAATTCATCTACCTACCCGCTGCTCAGTTTCACTCATGTTCCCCGTTTCCTGGTCTGCTCCGGATGCGTTTTGAGGATTTTTATCCTCGGCTTTGTCCACTTCGGCGAACGCCCCGCCCATTGTGGGCGGAGCTTAGGTGAGCTTGTGTGTGCTCTGCAAATGCTGGTCCATGCCACGTCTATTCCAAGCACAATCTGTACCCTTAAAGTGAATTTCCACGAAACCCCAATTTCAGGCGGTCACACAGACGCACACACACACAACTTCATATATAGAGAGATTTTTCAAGGACTGAGCTATAAAATGGCAAGTATCCCTCATACAACTGGGTATTGTGCAGTAGTCGATCTCGCAGAAATCGTTTAAGAAGAGTATTTAATCCGACTAATCGACGTAAATTTCCGTCGAACCCTGCGCCAACCATACGGTTCACTTTATGAGGCTTATGCCAGAGTTTTTTTGTGTTACCGTCGTTAATAACCCCCGCGACCGCCATTAAGAAGAAGCATGAAACGCGTCCAACTCATTGTAAAACTTCGAGGAGTAATATGAGTTTTACTACAGAATTTATGTGGCTGCGACTCTAACACTACAAGAACACCATCTGTTCTTGTCATGGTAGGAGTAATAAATGATAATGACATAGGATAGTTCCCCCGGAAGAACTTAATTCCCAGAAAATCACAATAACTAAACACTTCCTTGACCTTCACGGCGAATTCTATGCCAGTACTTTTACTCTCTCTGACCTCTATATCAGCGCCAAATCTAACGTACAGCGATATGGGTCTCAGGTGTAAAAAACGATTGCTATATTTGTTGTAAGAGAGTAAAGGACTAAAGGGCTGGCACTATTTTACCCTTTACTGGCCCCAGTCCATACCAAACTCGGCCAGTTTCCTTAACGGCGACCTTTTTTCCTCCGTGGCAGTAATTTGCTAAAAACTGGCTCCAGGTATAGTTCGACCCGCTGACCACGAGTATCGCATCCGCTTAACCCGAATCCTCCTGGCGCCCGCGCCACGGGCGCCGGCGCCAAAATAGGTCAAGAATCAGCAAATGCCTAAAACTTGCTCATGAAGGGGTTAGTTTGACTCCCGATCACCAATATGCACATCACACACCTTAACCGCACAACGCCTCACCCTGCCGCCCCCGCGCCACCAGTGCTGCGATGCTACAATACCCTGGATCAACCGCCGCCCTGTGGCGCAGGGCGCCAGAAGGTTTCGGGCTATGCCGGATGTCCCATTCGTCATTCAGAAAGGATGCAAAAAATCCCCCGCGAGACCAACCTGAGACAAATCCTGTTCAAGGAGAAAAAGTCCCGGTCAGACAAACCGGCCGCATTACGGGATATGTTGGGGCAGTAAAGGGGTAAATGTGCAAATTGCGAGGTTGCATTGGAAATCTACTTGGGATCCCATTTTTGCCCCAAAAAAGCTCTGCTAACCTAATTTAACGACATGAGACTCACCGAAAAATTGAATTCCTCGGAAGCTGAACCCACACTCATTATTTATTTCTTTTATTAGCACAGTAGTATGTACCAGTGGAAATAGAACTTAGACTCCCACTTATCTTATTAACGCAATTGTATTTATCTCATGAGCTAACCAGGGCCAACTACTAACCAAGAAGAAATAAGGAAGTGGTAGATTTGGAGACGCAATGATCCTTTTGGATGCCGCCTCGCACTCATACTACCCTCGTTCAGAATTGCAATGACATTTGAGTGGGCACTAGCCTACGCAAAAATATTTAGCTGAAATCAGACAGTTTGCTCAAGTACAAGGTACCTGGATGGACACTGGTCCAGGCCTTAAGAGCCTGACTCAAGACTCCAATCAAACTCCCTAAGCGGCGTCCTTCTGCCGGTGCAAAACATTCGGACGGGGCACCATTCTCATGTCCAGGGCTATGGAGGGAACGAAACAGGCGCTAAGCACGAAATGCTCAAGCACGTATTATGGAGAATATGACAATAAACGGGTCCCATGATAAGCAAAATATACTCAAGATGGGGCTCTCCACAAGCTACACGTCATCGTACTGTGGAGGGAAATGCCTGAAAAAAGCAATTAGATCGGGTGAAAAATCGAAAATACCTTCTTTCAGAGCTCTCACTCAAGATGCGCACTACATAACCAGTAGATGGAGAGGGCGTGGACCGCGTACAAAAGTTGGACTTGACACAGGATGCGTTTTTCGTGGGATACTTCGATTTCGAGACATCCGTCATGCTTTCATATGTATGTTGCACAAGGACTTAGCTAAAATCGCCTCAAAACGGCAATATGCCACCCAAAGCGCAGCCGCCGCCACTCTCAAACGAAGTACGCAGCCACGCCCTATCTGTGTTCGGGATGTGTCGTGTAACCACCAACACTTGAGTTGCCTTAATACGGGTAAAATGCAATTCTATTCGGTCGATAATAGTGACATTCAGGGAAGGCGACGGAAAGCGTTCAGGACTCTTTTCAGAAAAGTAGAAAAAAGAGCAACCAGTTGCATTTTTTGCCGTTCGCGTCCCACACTTGCTGCTTGCTTCTTATTCGACGTCAGTTCAGTGGCTACAAGCATAGGGCAGGTCCTTGAGTTACGCTCGGCACGTCTTGTGGAAAAATTTTGGCGAAATGAACTGCCACCCCAAAGCTCCCGCTTTTTACTATACTTCACCCTCCTCCTTCCCATCCTACCTACCATCTCTTTGACCTAACTTCCTACCTGCCCTCCAGAAGGTTTCCAGGAATTCCCCCTCTTTCCTCCAAAAACTGCCATCGAGCGGGTCGAAGGGAGGATATATAGCGCACCTTTGCCCTCGAAACAGAAAAAACCGAGGCAAGTCAACTATCGAAAACATTTTTCACGAAGGCGAATGAGACCCCAACCTCAACCTCCAGCGATCAATAAACTCCTCCCCCCTTGCTGAGGTTTTTAACGTAAGGGCTGCTCCTGAAGGGCAGGGGCTGAATAATGCTGGTAATTGATCTTCGCGGCTATTCTCAGCGTGTCACACGTATGCCTTATGCGACGTTACAAATAAACAAATAAATAAATGAAACTCGAAAAGGGCAGCTCCTAAAAAGCCATCCATACCTGATGTACGGCCCGGAATCACGGCCTTGCATGGGTCGGTCAAGATTGTTACATGTGCCGTCCAACGTCCGATACATAAGGTGATAGCAAAGATTTTTGTTGCAATCAACACCGCTCGATGAAAGCTGAAATCCAACTGATTAATTAATAAAGAAAATTAATAACTATTATAAATGATTGAGCAGCAGCCAAACTCGAAAAGGGTGTAGCAAAAAAAATTTAGTGTCTTTTTGTACCGCTTAAAGAGGGTTCTTTTTCATAATCCGCGCGCATCAGTATCGCAGACACTAAAAAGCTAGATATCTCAGGCAAAATCACTCTCCGACTCCATAACATCGGAACAAGTTTCGCGTAATGTTGTATCAGGCGCTGATGTAAGGCTGATTTCATTGACACGGTGTTTGATCCGACCTTTTTCTTTAGTAGAAATTTTGCAAATACTCAAAAACTTTGGCAGGCGAGTTTCGGTTCGGGGACATGAGCATGTCGGGTAAACGGTTTCGAAGAACCAGAGCGGATCCAGCCTAAGTTTGTAGGGATCACTGGAGTCTTGTAAAGAATACTTGTGAATCCTTGTAAAGCTATTAACACGTTGATGAAAGCTAGTGAAAGGACAGAATCCCTCTTCCCCTCCCAGCCCGAACTGGGCACAAAATCGTCACGACTAGCAAGAGCACCCACATACATTAAGGGAACATATCTTTAGTAAAGGCTTGTCTTTGCAACAATTTTCAAAACCAGATCTCCGAGAACATTCGCCTGTTGTACCGTCTGGCGATAGGGCGAGTGGGGGGGGGGGGAGAGGGACGCGCGAGAAAGGGAATATCAACTAAATGTTTTGTTGCGGCAGGTCAAGTTAAGACGCGTCCGCCTCCTCCAGTAGCCAATACGAAACCTCCGCACGCGCCTGTCTGGTGGTTCCACAGTACCAAGTGCACCGTGAGGCGATGCTTTGGCATTGAAGCAATCGAACTTTCTCGGAGCGTGGACCTATGGTGGCGCCCTGGCGTGGCACACCGTCCGAATGGTGAAATGACTAGGCTCTCGAAAATAGGTTTTGCGACAGACCACGCGCGGACAAATTACCTAAAGGACATCGTTAGACTGCAGTTCTTGCGCAGCATCTCGGACCTAAGCAAAATATGACGTTTAATATTGATGTTCGCATTTGTCTCCTTTTGAGGAAGTCGGTTAGACATATCGGAAGATGGAAGGCATGGTCATATCCATGCGCTACAGAGGGCTTTTTCCTACCCACACATACATTTTGTTCGCGCTATTCAACATTGAGATGTTATTCCGATAGTAGCTTACAAAGTAGAAGGTATGGCATAGTACGCACTCACGGCACAAAGAATTAAAGAACAGAGGTGGAGTACGAAGAGTTTCTTGGGTGGCGGCTATGCGATTTGCTTCCCTCACAGAAACATCATACTGTCGGTTCATTCTGTAACGTTGGTGTAATTGCTCTAATTTGCAGCAGGAAAGCAAACGCGAAAATTTAACAATCCTGCAATGAAATCAATAGGGGAGACAAGAGGCTGAGTTATGGACAAAAGTCTGACCCAGATGAGACTCGATCTCGTGCCTCACGCTTCCCGGGCGAGCGCGCTTCCTTCAGGCCACCAGGGTGAGCGTTGATTTTTCGGAAATGCAGAAGCGATCATGATGTTTCATTGTCTAATTTTGTTGATCCCCATGAACAACCTTACATTTTTGAAATAGGCGAAAACTGGTGCATTACCCTCGAGAGCACCCGATGTTAGAATACATTGTCTTACTGGTTGTAAGATAAAGCAAAATTAGAGAGCACTACCAAATTAAAAAGTTTAAAGGATCAGGACTGAATCAAAAGCATCAGTGTTGTCTCGAACACGGTAAAAATGTTAACTTAAAATTCTTGAACTGTCACTTTTTTGAAATCGAATTCTTGAGGGAAACCCCACAGATGACGGTATAGTTCTCGAAATTGCGAGGCAAAATTGAAATAGCATTCAAGTAGGTCCAAAAAAACACTTCCCACACGCGAAAAATAATATAGCAGCAGGTTACACACTTGTGGAACGCATCCTGAAGGAACACTCTTGGTGATGTCATCAATAGACAGCGTCATCCGGCCAAAGTTGTCTTCAACGCTGTTGATGAGATTTGATGCTATCATCAGCTGAAACACACCATATCTAATTAATTAATTATTAATTTGCTTATTTACCCTTTTTTGCTTATCTACTGACCTTGGGTACGGTACGGTATTACGCTTCAGAAATAACCCAGATTAGCAAGTAATAATGTGATTTAAAAATTTTTTTATTTACTTAGTTTGTACTTTTATAATGATTGAAACACTGATGTCCAAAACTGTGGTATGATTTATTTATATTAAAATTTTTTAGAATTGAATTGAACTTTGCTTTTATTTTCATTTTTATTTTTATTGATTTCAAGGATGTAGTCTAGTTTCTGTTTCGCACGTGCCCTTAGACGGAAACTAGACAACCGTGGTATCTTTCCCTTCGTGCTCATCAGTAAGGAAGGGTAGAAACAACAAATTTAAGTAATAAAAAAAAAAATCGAATCAAAAAAATTTTTAAAAAACATCTTTAGGAATCTAAGAATTTTCGTAGAAGTTAAAGTTTTAATTTTTGAGTTTTGAGTTGAGTTTTGTGAAATTTATGTCAGTTTCAAACGATGGCTACTATGTTTTTAATATAACTATAACTGTTTTTAATATAACTCTAGAGCTACTGTTTTTCCCGATCACCCCCATCGGTTTGTGGATTCACTTATAAATATCTCTTCCAGCAGGCTCTTCGAACCTTATTTCAGGTCGTGTCAAAAGCTTACAACCAGCTTCTAATGTCATAAAAAGTAAGAAACTTCCAGTAGTCAGCCATCCTCTTACCTCAGCAGCATGAGGCATGTCGTTCCGAACAGCAGTACAACTGCTGACCCGTTTCACAGTCATCTGTTGCACCGGAACATCAGCACCACTAGGACTTGACGTTCTCTCTGATGAGGTTGTCGGTGACGTCGGAGCTGAAAAATTATTATTCTTATTATTTACTGATTATTTGGTGGTTTGGCCGAGTGAAAATAATGCAGACTGCTTGCAAACTTCATTTGGCATGACTTTTTTCATAATAATCTACAGATATCAACAATTAGCGAAGCCTACCGTATTGATATCGTACCCCCCTTCCCCTCCACTACCGTTGTAGAAAATCGAACACTGTCAATACATCTTTTCCTTCCACACTACAACTCTCTCCCAGCCCCTGCTCCTTTTTCTGACGATTTCCCCTTTCATTACCACGACCATAATCGTTAGCAGTCATCGACCTGATTCTTAAGTGTTCTACGAAGAATTACTGGCTCTTTAGGGGAGGAAAAAATACTGTAACCACAGCCACATTTGCAATTGGAAAAGATGCGCGTGGTAATGATTTACAAACAAGCGGTTTTACAAAGACACCATGGAAATCTTGTGCACATAACGGCGCCCCCCCCCTATCCCTTCCTCTAGTAAAACTAATTAGCCGTCACAAAGTTGGAGCCAAGTATGGCTCTACCAAGTCCAAGAAGAAACACTTTCAAACATTTTCTGACTAGCTGTCTGGGTCGTTTGTTCTGGACAATGGATGCTCTTGGAGCTTATGAAACTCTTCTCGAGATGCGCCATGCATTTCGCTTCAGTTCAAAATTGTAGTTGTGTAGGAGAGCTCGGATTAGCCCATACAACGTTTTTTGGAGAATCAGCCGTTGTACCCCACAATGCTCCTCTCGGACAACCCTGGTGCTAATCAACTCAACTTGGAGTAGAATTCTTGGTTGGTTCAAGCGAAAGTTTACAGGAGATGTTACCCTCAGACCGTTCGCCTACTAACGGTGCCACTCGTTACTACGCCACCTCCGTCAATGCAGGTAATAAAACTCGTCAATCACCCTACTTTTTGGATGTGAAGCTTTTGGCAGGGGGCTAGGTGAAAACGTATGCGTCGGAAAGGGTTGTCAAGCAGTCACTAATACGGGAAAACGCTAATACTGCTCGCAGTAAAAACCGCCATAACAGATTTCTACTTTAGAAAGGATGAAGTGGTTGATGGAAATTTTTGCTAAGAAAATTACACAAATAGACGAGCTAAAGTTCAAAGACATAAGTATTAAGTTAGTGAGTAAACTTAATGGTTTACGTGTTTCGAACCTTTCCAGACCGGCAGTTTCTGGAATTGAGTTGCGAGTCGAGAACAATAACAGAGATGGTATCCCGAAAAGGGGTGCATATTGAGTCCCTACGAAAAGCCAGCACGCCCACTCCCCGCCCCTTTCCACCCTCATCCAGCCAATAGTCAAGTGCACGATAAAGATGCTCTAGACGTACAGGATCTAACTAACCTAGGCAGGGACAAAATCGAAGGCGCCCCTGACAGGCGTTGCGTGCTTTCAAGGGAAGTACCTCATGGCACCCCTATCAAAAACAAACGTCGGACGCCGCACATGGCCCGCTCGCACCACAAAGAATGCCGCGGCCGTATGTTGGTGGCTTAATTACGCATACTGAATTATTTTGCGAGTAGAGTAATGAAGCTTGTCTAATCGGTACTATTATTGGCACGATGGCCTAACAGAAAACTCGTCCGAAATTCTTCCGTGAGTCAAGAGGCGAGAAGCATTTCCGCGCCAGGTTTTTTGTCCGTCTTAATTTCAATTTTTCGCCGCATTTTCTCCGCACTATGTATGTCGACCCCTGCTATCCACCAAGTACGAAAAATCATCGTAGGCTTATGCTAGCGCACTAAACGAATTCGAAAGGTTTAAAGCGGTGTAAAGCCGTTTCCAGGAGCATTTGAAGTATTGTTGTGGGGCAATTAATAAACCGCCATAGCTAGACGCCATGCAGTGACTTTATCTTTTTAGACAAAGTGGAGCTAAAGCAGATTATTCCAGTAAATGGTATACTCTACGACAGGTATTTTCCTACTACACCACCTCCGCTTCCGAATATTTTTTGTTCGCTCTAATGCCCGATGAACGAATGAGATAGCATCGTTCTGATGAACCTTCATCGAAGGGGTTGCGGGTTTACAAGAGCTATGTCCAAGTATCCGACTTTGCACAGGCGCGAAGTCTTTAGAAACTAAACTTTAGGAAATATCGCCCCGAATTCCCGACCCCCCCCCCGTGATAGTTTGGCACCTGCTAGTCACACAATCTCAGGGGATGGCTGCCTTCGATGGAATTCGGTCCAGGATTTGACGTCCAGAACAAGCAGAATGAGGAAGTAAGGTCACTTAGCAGTGGCAGTCGCAAATTTTTGGTCTCGGGCGTGCAAATATACAAAAAGTCAAGTGACGTGGAGTTTGGACCATTCATGACTAATCTCTCCCTGCGATGGAGCCACACACTTCGCTTTCGTCCACAATCTCAACGGCATTTGAATGCATACTGTGCGTATGGATAAATAACACAGACTTGGCTTCCAGGTCATAGGAGCACTTGTTGTGTAAATCACTGCCGAATTTTTCCTTCGCCACTGAACATTAGACTGCTGAACCAGTTTCATTCAAGATCAAATTATACACATTTCGTGAGAAATGGGTTAACGTTCATTGGTCATGACCTTGGCTCCAATAAATTGCAAAATCCGGTGGCGTTGCTCATTTTTGAGGTCTTGTCATTTTCCTACTTTCTTTATCGTTACCCTCTGTTCACTACGAGCCTCAGTGGATAACGACGTAAGGTGCTCTGTTTGAATGAAGGTGGAATGAATCACCTCTGATTATTTTTCCGTGCAATGAGCAACACAATTCTTTCTTTTGTATTGAGCGAGCCTTCAGTCAAAATCCATTTGAGGATGGGCAAGCTTTTTGTGTCTAGGCCACCCCCGCCCCTTGCTTGTGCAGCTAGGGTTATCCAACGCGCAAGGCGATAAAAAGTGAAGTGAAGGATTCCGAGTTCATCACAGCTCTCTTAGAATGCGCCACGCATTTCTTTTTTCCGCCTAGTGTCTGTGTGAACATTGTGGCATGGCGATGTCGTCTATAGGCGCGTGTGTCGGAGTCCATCAGGTCTCTCGCCGCTGTACGATCAAACGCTTCCATAATTATCTGAAGCCCATTAAAGGCAGTTGGCAACGATGATTTGGTTGCGCTCGCGTAATGCTAGTAGGGCGGCTATATAGTGGGGAAATGGCGAAAGAACGGAGTGAAACGGTCAAAATCCTGCGAAGAAAAGCCTCCGTTCTCAGTGACTTGAAAATCGATTTCGGACGAGTTTCCCGTAGGCATCTTGCCAATCAACCAAAGATACGGCAACCAAAGATACGGCTGCATATGTTGTAGCGCCGGTATATGCATGCAGCATCAACGGGGCGGCTTCACAACAATCCCGCTTCGCTTCAATAAATTGCTTAGCAGATGAAATCGAATTGGGCCTCAGGACGGTCGTCCATTTGTGGGCCGCGTGCAGGCGTGCGGGCGTTTGGTCGAAAAATGTTTTTGTTGTAGCATTCATAGAGCCCGTATAAGGGCATCTCCCTTGAAAAAGGCATTATGCAGCGCCTGCTCAGGGTCGCGGAATTCCGTCCTGCCAGGCGTATTAATCCTACTCGTCTTGGGAGATTTATCGTGCCAACTGCCTTTAAGTCATTAATCGTACTGGGTTATATCCCGTCAGAAAATGCCTAAAAAGCCACGGTTCCTGAACTTGGACATTAGAATCGCGTGGTGGTCTCCATCGCAGAAACCTCATGGGTTGTTCAACGCTTGCATTGATTCTCCCCAAGCACCGCATGTGAAGCATCTAGCGCGCAGTAACCAGCTGCGAAACTCATTTAACCTGCCAAGAGGAATAAGCTTGGTTAGCGGCTGGAAGGAATCGCGATCCCATGAAGTGTGAGGCCTGGACGAAGGCATGGGTAAAGGGCGCGCACTTGCCACAACATCGCGCTATTAATGGAAGATAAACAGGCTTTAATAAGTACTTCACATAGATCGGGACCGCACAGGCCTTAACAGTGCTAACAGGAGTTGATTGGTTCTAAAAGGTATGAAAAACTGTTGTGGAGAAAAAGTGAGTTTTCGGGTAAACACGAAAGCCTTCGAATTAACTTGTAATTTCTCGATGGAATATTATGCTAGGCGCATCCCAATCGAATCAATGCTTTCTCGGCCATGGTCATCGATAGTGAAATGGTAGTCAGCCTTGATAGTACGCTCATAAGCCAAATGGCGAAGGACAAATGACTGTAGTAGTTCTCTCGCAGAGGAATGTTGAACCGTCCTTGAAATTCCATACAGCCTAACTTACTCGGCCGTATCATTAAGCGCCTTTTCAAAAACGCTAATTTCTTTGTTCATGGCAGGATGACGTCCAATAGATGACGCTTCCTAAATAAATATCGTTCTCTCCGCAAAAGAGTGTTCCTGATCTCTTTTGCTAACGCCCACGAATTTGCGCCGAAATTTTAGCAGGAATCTTTGGGCAGGGCGCATTATTATCAGTTGAAAGATTTCGAGTGGCACGCCCCCCGCCCCTCCACTCCCTTTTTGAAGGGGTAAGTAGACACCTCTTGGTTTTCACCTCTTCAAGCTGTCGAGCGTGGGGTAATACAACCCCCTCCCCGCTCTGCATCTTACCACTTCTTAGATTTTCCTCTACTCCTACCCACTTTTTTCCGGGGAATTCCCGCCGAAAATTTTCCGTATTACCTCTTTACCCAAAATTTTGGCTGGTCGAGCAGATAGAGGGGGAGGCCGAGTAATTTTGCTATCGAGGCGGGAAGAGGGAGAGGGGGTAAGATTACACAAGAACAAAACGACACAAAAGATTGCCCACCTGACTCTCAGATTGCCGGAAGGGAATAGATGGAATAAGATACCCCCCCTCCCTTTTTTTAACCAGTCGTCTGACTAAGAAAATTCCAACCGTCCAAAAAAATTTTCTCAGCCGCTCAGCAGTATGTCCCCC